CGCCTGAATTTGAAACGATGCTTCCCAGGTAGGTAAAGGAGGTTACCTCTTTTAGATTTCTACCATTTATGCTGTGGTTGCTGCTGTTGGCCAGGACTCCTCATCACCTCTGTTTTCTCTAAGTTCACCTGAAGTTCTATCTTCTCTGGATGCTTCTTCTGCCAACTTGTTGCTTTTCATCCCTTCAATATCTTCCAGTTTGTAACTATTTTCTAATCCTATGAGATCTTGTCTCTAAACCCATGTAATCTATATTCCTACCTTCAAACTTTCATATCAAGTTGAAAATTATCACCTTCGTTACTATGTGAAATTAAACAAATAATATTGTATCCATGATGAATAATCTATATAAGTGCGATTGTACAGCTTTTGAGAATGAAATCGCCGAAAAGATATCTTTGCTGAACTTCGTGTTCTCTTCTTTCTAAATCAGACATATATCACATCGGGGAAGTCCAAATCCTTCAAGTTCTTCGTGAAGGTCCTTTTTATGCCTGTTTTCCAGCTCCCCGCATTATCCAGTCTGCCACAATCAGGGAAATCGTTGGCGATAGTAGGCAGCCTTATCTTACTCCTATAGTAGCGAAGTAGTTGTCAAATCATCTTTCGATTGGCGCTGCACTATCGAAGGCCTTTTTTCAAAGTTGATGAAGTTGAGATAGACTGGTGACTGCCATTTCAAGCTTTGTTCAATGACGATCCGTAGTGTGGCGATTTGATCAATACATGACTTGTTTCTCCTGAATCCAGCCTGTCCCGGTCGAAGTTTTTCACCCAGGTCGGTGTGTTTGATTCTCTCCAGGATGATGCGGCTTAGTATTTTGCTTGGATGGACTGGAGCATGATTCCACGCCAAGTCTCGCATTGACTTAAGTCTCCTTTTGGCATTTTGAATAAGTAGACTTTCTTCCAATCCTCGGTTATCTTGCCCTCTTTCCACACCTTCTCCAGTAGTGGTGTCATCAACAACAAAGAATTCATCAGAAATCCTCAGAAGGTTTGAGCACTTCAGATATTCATGTCGATCCAACCTATGTTCTTTGAAAAAACGAATGACTTTCTAACATGACATGAACGTTTCGTCCTACTTTTCGTGACTCTTCATTTGGATATGTCCCATTGAGACTCGAATCCACCAGTCAACACCTCCATCCTTCCCCACCCACGCCTCACCCCCCGGCGTACATTCCAAATTGCAAACCATTATTGTGGCTCAAATAGTGTTGTTTGCAGTGGATAATGCCTACTTTGGCATTTTGAAATACGATGGGTGCTGATTGTATTCGAGTCTTAGTGGGTGGAGGGCCTTTTGTTTTTTCTAGCAATCGATATAATGCATTCGGAGTTTATAGGCTTATAATGATGATGAATACAATAGAGTGAGCTTTCTTTGTGTGATGAAGTTATCGATTAACAATAAACAGCTGGCTGGTAAGTATTCCTTAATTAGTACTATTATTATTTTTATTATTATTACTGTTACTACCGGTATATACATTTTTCAAATCACAATTTTGCTGATTTTTATCGTAGCTTAGTTGAATAAAGTGTATTATGAATATATAAGTAAGGAAAGAGATCTCCCCTTTTGCGTAACTTCACTTCAAAGCTGTGCAGTTAGTTATTTAGAGGATTATACTGCACAGTTATTATTTATTTATTATTCCTTTGGGTTCCGAGTGGTACATAGGGCTTCAACAACACATCTCCACTTTGTTCTATTTTCTGCTATCCTCTTCAGCCGGTTGACTCCACGACTGACCATAATCTGTCATCTTCTTCTCCTCCTCCTCCTCCTCGACACATGATCTCCTCCATTTCACCGTCGCACCGACGAACCACTCGTCGCTTCCCATTCTATTGGTATTCCACTCGAGCGATGGCCTTCTTTGTATGCCATATCGTTTGACGGTTTCCTCAGTGGCGTGTGCTCGATCCTATCTCCATTTTCTCATGCATATTTGTTGAGTGATCTGCTCTCGCCTGTTGGTTGGTTGGTTCCACTGTAGAGTTTCTGGTCGACCAGCTGGTCATTTATTCTTCAGTGTGGAGCCAGAGTGATGGGCAGATGTTGATCAAAGTGTGCAGTAGTAGCCTGTTGGAAATGCTTTTCGTGACACACTGGCCAAGTTTCTGACCCGTATAGAAAAAGTGACTACTGACTAACTGACTGAATTCACATTTGTATTGGAAATCGGAATGTTGTTCCACACTCTGACTGAGTGCATACGATTAGCAGACTGGTTTCTGGTTTTTGAAGGCGTTTGTTGCCTTTCCAATTCTGGCTGGCCTGCTTTGACATTTCCATCTGTTCGACTGGTTGTGGTTGAAACCGTGCTTCTCAGCCGGATAAATGAAGGAGTTAACCTCTGTGAAATCTCTCCGTTGATGGTGATTGGTTCTGGTTGTTATTTTTTATTTTTATTTTTTTATTTTTGGTAACAGCTTGATTCCACACTGTATTTTTGGTACAAGTATGGAATTTTCAGCGTGGATATCGGTAGCCCAAATTTCGCAGGCCGACCATAGATATCTGGTGTGCGCCGGTGTGGGCTCGAACCCCGGACCATGTGCATGGTCGTGAGAGTCCTAACCACTGTGCCACCGACGTACAGTTGCTTGTTGGTTGGTTGGTTATCTCCATCACCTCCGTCTTCTGTATGTTTACCTGAAATCCTTTCTTCACTGCCAATTTGTTGGCTTTCGCCTACAAGTCTTCGAGTTCGTGTGACATTAAACATAAATTATCCACACACGAAATCCATAGCTTCTAGAGCCAATTTTTCTTATCGGTCCAATGTATACCTGTCGTCTCACTCCTTGGCACAGTCTGACACATGATCCAATCCACCACCATTAGGAATATCACCGATGATGATAGTGGACAGCCTTGTCTTACTTCTGTATTCATTTCGAACACCTCGCTAAGTTTTCCGTTGAAGGATCACCTGACATTTGGCATTTTCATATAGCCAGCTGTTGAATAAGGTTGATAAAGGTTTGGGTGGGGGTGACTGCACCCCATAGTGTTCAAAACAGTTTCAAATTACTTCTCGGTCAACACTGCCGAAGTTCCCCCCTACTTTACTAAACTTTGTTTTCTAACCGGTCTCAAACCTGGATGAAGTAGGAGGGTTGAACGTAGGGCTAGCGACCCTACTACAGAAACTTCAACGCACAGTAAAATTACTTTTTTAAACTATTAAAAGTACTGCACAGTATCAATCGATAACAATGGTCAAAGGTTATTGTCAGTTAGTGACAAAATAAATCAAAGGTCACAATGTACCAAAAAATCCCGGATAAAACGTTTCTGAACACAAAGTCCAGTTGTTTTTCCTGATGGATTGCTAGCTACCATTTCGGTTGTATGGAGATATAAGCGAAATCCTTTGGAACGACTTTGATAGTATTTCTATGTATGACTATGAATAAAGTCATTGCTGATGCGGCGTAACCAGAGGTAATAATAATCTGCTCCAGAATTGAGCTTGTTGACTGTCCTGCACTAGTATTTTATTTGACAATCATGCTGGTAGGTGTTTAACAGGCACATCCTAATGATGCGGCCCAGGTGTACTTTATTCCACAAACAGAGAAAATGAATTGGTCAATAGTTATGCACATTGAAGTTGCCAAACAGTGGGATCTTGTTTTAGACATTCCGGTAAACAAAAACATATATGGAGAAGTTAAAACGTCGAGTCTCAGTAAAGAATGTTCTTCGAATTGCTCTCAGGGAAAAACTTCACTAATTGTATCTTCCGTGAATTTCAGATATACAATTAATTTTTTGGCTGGAGGATTTGATCCTAAGCTGACATCAGTTAGAGAACCATTGGAAAACCAGCCATAAGGAGTACTGCCAGGCAGCTGTTTCGTCAGCTTAGTTTGGCACCCTTCAGGCATATGCTCATTGGAGACATTGTGAAGTGGTTGCGCTATGACGTGAATTGAAAGAAGCCAGAATTCACGGGCTGGTCAGTGAATTAGGTCCCAGTGGCTTAATGGTTTACGGGCTTGCTCGCTAGCCTTGTAACCAGAAGGTCCTGGGTTCTAATCCTGGAAGTAGGTGGGTGCGTACTGCTGAAGCGGAGTCCTTAACTAGGCTGACGAAAAACCTGTCCAGTACTCCCTATGGTTGGCTTTCCAATGGTTCTCTAACTGATGCCAACTCATGATGAAATCTTCCAACCAATCATCAAACAAAGTCCTTAATCAAACCAACACTTGAAAATTAATTGTTTCTTTCACAAATCCTGGTTTCATCGAATTATTGATCATCCTCTTTAGATTTAATTGAGATTTTCCCGTCGATTGATTGATTGGACCGAAGTGCTCGGTTTCAAGTTGACATGTCTGTCGACTTCTTGTGCAGATGCCTCGATGATGTCTGGTCATTTAATTAGAATTTAATTTTTGGATGGGGTGACTAGCAGTGGAATCAATCCAGGATAAAGCTCATTTCGTCCTATTTAGGACTCGTCTGCTAGCTGGATGTACCTGCATTTCCTAGTGAGTGAAACTATGGGCACTGGGTTCGAGCCTCAGTGGGAACCTCATCACTCACCCACTGGGAAATGCAGGTACATTCAGCTAGCAGATGAATCGCAAATAGGACGAAATGCGCATCCTTGCTGGATTCTACTGCTAGTCACCATCCACAAATTAAATCCTTTTTAGATGTTTGTCGATAACGAAGGTGGAAGATCCAATTTTTTGTCATTGGAGTTTTTCTGAAGGATTCCAATGTATCGTCAGCTTATATATGTATATACATAAATAACTAATTTTATGGCTTTGGAATGAAGTTACGCAAAATGGGAGATCTCTTTGCTGACTCATGACTTTAAAATTTAATAAGTGTATACTTGATATACATATATATATATATGAATTTTATTGCTTGATTATATAATCGTTTCTTTTTGTTCGTGTGTTTGTGTGTGTGTGTGCACCCGCACTCACTCGCCTATATTCTTCTCTATTACTCACAGTTGTATATATTATCCGTGTGGAAATCACTCTATGCTCAGATAATATGTACCTGTTGAAATCATCAAATGCAGGCGGAGGAATATTTACTACGCCTATTGTTGTTACTTCTTCTACTACTCCTACAAGTACATCATCTCCACATCGACAAATTCTTCTACCGCCAGTTTCTACAGTTCATCTTTCATCATCATCCGCGTCATCCGTATCATTGTCACAATCGATTAATTCACATGATTTTTGTACAGAAGCATATTTTAAAACAAATGAATCATCATCATCACATGATTTTGTAATAAGTAAGACTATTGAAGATGTCACTGATCCTGGAATACTACTTGATGATGTTACCGATGGTGTTGTTGGCGGTCGTCTACAACATAAACACAATACAATTAGTACTAGTAGTCATGATGAAGGTATTGAAGAAACCGATGTTGGTGTTGCCGTTGCTGATACTCTTTTATTCGATGATATATCTGCTGCCATCGAAGCAATCAATGCAGCGAATCGTTTAAATTCTTCATATACCGATGATATTTGTGATGATACTGGTAATGTTGATGATGATAATGATGATGACGTCGTTGGAGAATCGATTGACACTACCACCGGTATTATAGTACAACAATCACAAAATATTCCAACAATTGCAACACTTCATCCAATCGGATTGTCCGCCTGTTCTACATCTACCTCCTCTGGTCTAGATCAATTTATTACGCATTCAATGTTTGTAAATATTCCAATGACAAGTAATAGTACTACCACTACTACTACTACTATGCCTTCGATGATTGATTATCATCAATCTCCTGGATTGTTATTCAATTCTAATAATAATAATGATAATAATAATAATAATAATACTCATGCATACATTCAAATTGTGAAGAAACAAGACTCGTTAACGAATACCTCTCATGGTAGTGTTACTACAACTACTGCGGGTAGTTGTACTACTAATATCGATATTAGTAGTAGTAATAGTAGTGCTATTCGTATTCCGCCTTTATTGACAACTACTCCTCGGCCTATGAAGAACACTTCCAGCATGACATCATCATCACTGTCTCAATCCAATTGGCGTTTTTTATTACGACCAATATTTGAAAAAATTTTAATTGAAAAGCTATGGACTAGTGGTGAATTAGGTGCATCGAATCCCTATTCTTTATTACTATCAATGTGGTTTTTTATATCACGATATTTTGGTATTGGTTGTCGAACAGATCATGCTAAATTAGCTTATGGAAATATTATTATTGAAAGGAATACAGAAACTGGTGAAAGGTATTTACGATTTACAAGGTGAGTTGCAGTTATTATGCATTTATTATTGATTTAGTATTATTATTGTTGTTACTATTCCTTTGCGTTCTTGGGTGGGCTGACTGATTGACTGAACACACCTTGAGCACTAGAAGTCTTCGAATGTTTGGTATGCGATTCGCTCCCCCGGTCAAATGTATTATGATGATGACGCTACACGACTGGGCTACATCGGCTTCTGTTAGCTTAAAAATAGGTCGGGGGGGGGAGTGAAGTAGTTGTTGAGTGTGTTGACCACTTCACTTATTTGAGGAGTTGCGCCAGCCAGGGCTGATTGCTGCTGACAGAAGGCTCGTTTGGGATTTATCTGCCGATTACCGCTATCTTTGACTTAGCGGAGGTTGATATCTAGATGGCAATCTGTAAATGGGCGTGTCTACTGGTTAACAGTTCGCTCTGTCCTCCTTTATGCCCGGCTATGAATGAGACATGGTCATTGAGAGTGGAAGACATGAAAAAGCAAAGGCCGGCTAGGTGGGTTTGATCGTAGGTGCCTGTCTGCGTCGGATCCCCCGTGGTAGGTGTAATAAGGTGGTGAGCAGTATCAAGGTTAGATATCGGTCGAGTGTTAGGTGAGTAGGAGGGGGAATTAGTAGAGGACAAAGTTGTGAAGGGTGGATTGATTGAGAGAGAGATGGTTAGGACACGTGTTACGTTTGCCTAGACTTCGTCTTCGTCGACAATGGGCAGTGTTATGTGACACAGGATGGATCAGTTTGAAAAAGAGCTAGTTGATGATGGTGAAACGAAAACACGGTGTCACCAGTCAATGAAATCCACAACAATTAGTTTAAACCAGCCACATAGGGAGGTGTGGACTTCGTGGTTGGGGAATCCTTGGTATGTGGAAAGAACCAATGATGTCTGGAGACAATCTGTGATAGGGCTCAAAATCATTGTCAATGCCTGGCTGGAGCAGATGCACTCACCCTTTGTGATTTATAATATCCAATAAAATTCTATTGTCCTTCCACTTTACTATTCTTTTTGCCTCATATTTCTGTTTATTATCCCTTTTTGTTCGAATCTCTCTTTACTCTCCTCTTTTGCTTCGTGTGGTAAAAAGAGGCAGAGTGGCGATTCGAAGTGCTGCATATCTGTGCAAAGTCCTACATTGAAACCAGTCAGTCAGTTCTCAGATGAACATATGGTTTCAAGCCTGAACTTTAAAGTTCTCAATATGTGATTTTTTACCTTTCAAGGGGGGCATGGAACTGATGTCCAACTTAGCCTCTTCTATGGGGCTGACAACCAAATTGGTTATAAGAGATAAAGTAAAGATGTGCATCGGCGGCACAGTGGTTAGGACTCTCGCCGACCATACACATGGTCCGAAGTTCGATACCCTGCAGACACATACCTGATATCTATGATCGGTCTGCAAAATTTGGGCTGCTGATATCCATGCTGAAAATTCCATACTTGTACCAAAAATACAGTGTGGAATCAAGCTGTATTTCAAAAAATATAAAAAAAAATAATCCCGGTAACGAGAGAGGAAGTCGCTACACTCCCTCCAT